AGACATTCATTAGAAAGACTTTGTAGCGATCTGTACATATTGTAAATATTTGAATTTTATTTTCTAAAATTTATTTTATTTCTAAATCTTTACTTTCAACTTTAATTTCAAACTCTTAAGCATGCTTCATTACCTGGAACCCCTATACCTGCATGTACCCTGTCTTATAATTACTAACAATCTGGTTTCTCCGGCAATAACATTCCATTCTATTTACTTCTGAGAACTTTTACCGTCAGTACTTGTACCTTCTGTCTTCCTTCTAAACTACCCTTCTCCTTTTCTATCTTCTACAATTATTAACTATAAATACCCTTATTTTCGATTTCAAAAATCAGTTAGTTCTTCCGAGTTCTTCTAGTTCTTTTCTCCCAGCTATTTCGTAAGTTTACCGTTTATTGTTATTATCGTTATTGTTGTTGTTATTGTTTTGTGATTGTCTTGTTCCTGTTGGTGTGTTTATTAAAATCTTAGAGACCAATTCTATGTTAGTGTTTTCTTTTAATTCATCGCGCCATATTCGTGCAATATCAAAAACTACCGAAAACACTACAGTCTTATGGTTTTTGTAATATTAATAAAATATTGATTAAACGTGTTGAAAATTTTGATTTTCATGAAAATTACTCTTAATCATACTGGGAAGTTATTCGTGTGGACCTTAAGGGTCTTACCAGCTATGCGACACCAAACCCACCCCACGGCTTGTTTTCAACTAATGCATTTGTTACAAACACCCGGTTTCTTGAGCCGCACTGTATATAAGTAATCAAAATATTAGAAAACAAAATAACTGCAAAATGTGAATTGTTCATTTGTTTTTTCGTTTTAGTTTTTTGTAGTCACCACCGGAGCTATATCTACTACACCGAAAGCATTTACAAAGACAATTGCTTTTTGGCTTCCAAGTGTAAAAATTGCCTTAAGTTTAGTGAAAAGCTTTGTACAAACGATATGGAAGTTGAAATGGGTGAATATTGTCCTAGCGATGTGAATGGAAATTATTATTTATCCACTAAATCTAAATTACAGTTTTGTAATAATTAATTAACTTTAACAATTATACGCATGATGGCACCTTATTATAGTTTCTAATTTATTTCAGCAACATCTCTCTTGTATTAAAAAAGTAACGCATCACCCTGTACATATTTAGCGAGTGCACCAAAGTGTATATTTTATTAGAAGTAGTCAGCTAGCTAACTTTATCTTTTGAATAATAACAATAAATAGCTTTTTATGCTAGATAAATATAGACTTAACAAAAGAGAAAAAAATAAAACAAAATAGAGAAAAAAAAATAAATTGAAAATGTACTTATACGGAAAATTTCGTATAACAATTACAATTATTAGAACCCTGCAATTGTTTTCCATTTTTGCAGAAATATTTCATTTACGGTAATACATAAGAAAAGTTGTAGCCTCTTTAAAAAAATACAACGTGAAATAATCTATTATAGTAAGAACGTGTAGTGTGATATCGGATTGATAAATTCTACATATTAAAATGACATTATAAAAATTAAAAGCCAGTTTCATACCACACATGCAATAATTAAAAGCTGATAACACCGCGTCTATAATCATGCTTGCAGTTACTCTAATCACAAAACTGATTTTTCGTAAGTATTTTCTTTTACCTTTTTTTATCTTTTTTGCTTTATTATTGAAATGCATTTGTATAATTTATTAAATAATAACCGACAATATATAAAAAAATAACTTTAATTTAATAAGTTTTAAAATTATCGACCTTAATTCAATTTTAATATTTTTCATAATCGAAAATCTGATTTTAATATTTATCAAATGCATTTTTTGAGTGACAAGTAAGCGAAACCGTCAAAATTTTCACCGACTGCAATTTTTAATAAAGGTAATACGTATACTGTGCACGGCGTTGTAGGTTTGATGAAATAATACTAAAAAATATACACATATAAGTACGGATTAACAAATTTTAACATTGACCGAAACCGTAGACCATGAAACTACTTAAAAAAGAAAAATGCTTAATGTATCTCTTAAAAACACAAGTTCAACTAATGTATAGATAAAAAAGGAACAAGTTGAAACAATTTTATCGACGCATCAAAGCCAACTTAAGTATACATATGTATAATCTATAGTTATTGCTAATTTAAAAAATAATTTATTTTACAAGTACCGTCAGTCATATAAACATGGGGTTCTTTTACAGTAATTTTTTAAGTTAATTCTCCAAATACTTTAAAAGTCACTCTGGTGACAACAAAATACGCAACAGTACAACAATTAACCATTACAATGTTTCCTGTAGTCGTAGAAAAATAGAAAGAATTGTAACTCGTCATCACAAAATTCTAAAACATTTAAGGTAATACAAAAACTCATTGTTCAGTTCCACGGTTATAAATTGTAAAAGGTTGTCGAAGGCAGAAATTTTTCACAACAAATAACAACGTACTACGCAAAGGTTATTGTGTTATTGGAAAATTGGAAAAAGTTATTTGTTGTAATTCTTAAAGACTAGTGCAACATTTAATGGAAATTAATAACTCATAACGTTTCATATAAAAATCGAAAACAATAGTCTCCGACAGACAAACACGTCCTTCGTTGTAGTCCTACGTAAAACACTAACCTTTTGTGATACTTAACAACAATCTTCAAATAAAATATACATGAAGTGATGAAGAATCAGATGCATTAGTGCCAAAGAATAATTTTACGTTAAATTACTTAAGTTCTGAAGTTATTGCAAAATTTTTTGAAATGTTTCATACGAAGTAATACAAGTGTTACAGAGATTATTATAAAATATTTTAAATCTTAACAAATTTAGTGTAATAAAATTAAATAGTTTTCAATTGGGCGAGCAATAATTTCTACGAACAATTAAG